TTTTTCCTTCTTGGTCACCTGAATATTTTGTTTTCTTAATATTGGTCTTAATTTTTGAGTTAGATCACAGGAACGTAGACATATTTACTTTTATTAATTTTTCTCCGTCCTCTGTTCTTTCGTCATCAGAGTTCGGTCATTGGCATCTCGCAGCCCGTATATTTCTTTGTATTACTTCACCGTTGTCGAGGCTTATCCGAGTCATTTTGTACAATTCTTCATTCCAGAATTCCGCATCCGTCATTCGTATGCTTCTGATGAACATCTTCCTCATTCTTATCTTTAGCCTGTGGTTGTAATGGGACTGGAAATTGAGTATTATACCGGCATATGACTTCTTTCTGAACATTAGAGCGAATCACTTCAACATCCAGGAAACGTAACCGCTCACCTTCCTCTATTTCTATAGTGAATTTGATTTTTTCATCAATTTGGTTTCCAAATTTCATTAATTCTTTCAGTTTTTCTATTCCATGTGACCAAAGTGCAAAGTAATCGTCCAGGTACAGCATGAGCATTTCTGGTTTTGACGGTGACATCTTGAAGTTCTCTTCTAATTTGTTCATGTATAAATTTGCCAAAAGAGGGCGGTCCCATGGAAAGTCCAAATATTTGTTCATTGATATTCCTGTTGAATGCGGAATAGGTTGTCCGTATTGTCAAGTTTATTAGTCGTGTTATTGACTTGCTTCTGATCCTTTCCGATTCCAGGATATCCTTCTCTCGGTACAGGATTTCCAGCAGGGCCATTGGCGCCTTTTCTCTAGAGATTTTTGTATACATGGATTGTACGTCAAAACTTACCATAAAGTCTGTTACTTCTAGTGTATGTTTTTTATTATTTGAGAAAATTCACATGAATGTTTCACTTTATTTGCCAATTTGTGTGTTCCTCTATACTTGTTGTATGCTGTCAGCCTTAGTGGTTCGTCTTCAAGGATACGACTCGTGAAGGCGATGCTTAATATCTGAAAGCAAGGGAATCAGAGCCTAGGCGCTCTAGTAGTAGAAATAAGACCTAGAGTAAAACGTACACTGAGAATAGAACCGAGTGAAATCGGCGAACCGGTAAGATAAGAAACGGATCTACAGGACCATGAGGGAGATCGGGATAGGAGGACTGAGTCGGATTTGCCGAGGAGGGCAAAGCGAACCGCAGGTGTGATGATGCCACACCTAAGGGTGGAATGTAAGCAAGTAAGAAGGTGATATCATCATGCAAAAGTCTCACGTTAACATTATGGCAAGAAGGCTATCCGGCTCTATCTTACCCTTTATATAGACTAAATTAAGCAAAATAAAATAAAATAATCTATATAGGTATTAAATGGTTTGGCTAATTATCTTTCATATTGGTCCTGCTACTTTTGTTCGAGTGTCTGTGTGTGTGTCTGTATGTGTCTTGACGTCAATACGCAATATCTGTCATAAATCACTGTTTAAAAGTCTAATGTCAGGCTCTGATCATCGAGGCTTAATGACCCAAGAGAAAGACCTGATCGAGACTACGTAAGCAAGTATGGTTGAGATAATGAGATGTAAGCTTGTAAGCATGTAAGTCAGGTTACGAAACCATTTGTCCTAATCTCTGGGTGACTAATTCGAGGCGCAAGCCTCTCAGTATCCCCGCCGTCAACATCCTGTTTCTATCTATAATAGCAAGCCTGTTACATTCTATGCCCTAGTCTCTTGTGTGCCCAACCCACAAATGTTGTGGTTCAACATTGAACCAAATCAAAACAAGCTGTACCACAGCATTTGTGGGTTGACACACAAGAGACTAGGGCATAGCAAATCATAGACTTGGTATTAAGGATAGAAACAGGATGGAGACGGCGGGGACACTCAGAGACTTGCACCTCGAATTAGTCACCCAGACGCAGGTTAGGGCGAATAACGCCTCGAGTAGGACAGATGTGGTGGCAGAAGTCGAGTGAAATAGGTGAACAAGAGGTAGAGCAGACGGATTTTACGGAGCGAGAGAGAGAGAGGGATAAGACTAGGAAAGAGGGTTGCATAATAATAATGCAGACTCTGATCAACATTCATTGCACAAGGATGAAGGGAGGGAGTGAGAACGACAGTTGAAGTGTGAAGGGGTTATGTCGCTCAAAGGAACACACTACACTATATCTAAATAAGCACGGTAAAAATTCTAATAGTGAAGGCATGATAGGATGCTACCAGAAACGCGAATAATCCAGGGCAGAAGGGGAAATACCATAATTGTTTAGCACACGTTTGGTCGAAGGATCGGCTTCACTTGTCTCCTTGATGAGTTGTTGTATGGTGCTAAAGATGGCGATACTCACAGACGATGCTGACTACGATATCGGCTAAACGTTTGGGAATGTACTACGTCCACGGTTCAACTTTGGAAACGATCATGCAGACAATGGACTCCGGACTAGGTGCGTTCCTCTAAGTCTTCCTATCAATATGACCATGTTGTGAAAACAAGGTCAAACAACCTCTTCCTTACCTAGTATTAACGTGAGACTTACAAGAATGAGTTCCAGCCCTGATGATGTCCACATATGACGGGCAAAAGCTCAGCTCGTTGTCACCCAAAATGAGTGAGGATGTCTCCTGGAGTGAGTCAATCTGAACGCCGTAGTGAAGCCAAAGACTGCAGTACAACGAGAATCAGTTGTCCTCTTCTGGCTAATTATCTTTTATATTGGTTATGTTACTTTTGCTCGACTTTGTGAGCGTGTGTTTGTATTAGTTTCTATACGCAATATTGCTCTTAAGTCAGTGGGATGATTTCTCGTGGACTGCGTCAACCGGAACGTCATATTAAACGAAACGGCTGCAGTAAAGCTGGAATCAGTGATTCTCTTCTGGTGAGATCGACCTTCGAATCTCTTTTTCATCCTCTTTCCTGCGAAATAAAAATCTCTCCAACATTGTTATCTCAGGAGGAATAATCGATGCCCAGTTTCTCTTCGTGTTTCATTTAATTCCAAATACTGTTCACCTATCACAACATTATATAATTTAGTTAGTCTATATTTGATATGTTTTGTTCAAGCTTAGAATGTGATCATCTCAGTCTTTACTCCTAACCTGATCTATATAAATGCTTATCTAAAAAAAGCTCAATCAAAATGTAGTTTACTTATCCTTCTAGCATATACTTAGTCCATTCTTTGGATTCTTCTCTGCTTTTTTTCCATTTATTGATAGTCTGATTATTTTCATTAATTATTTTCTCACTATTATTCTTCTCCTGTGTACAGGAAGACTGCCGAAGAGCTGCAGAGACAACTTGAAGTGCTGGCAGCTGATGAACAGAATTGGTGAGCTGCCTTTATTTCTTTCCTACTTATTTTAAATTGTTCGACAACTTTATTTTTACATTTTTATCAGAGGGCTATTCTATATCTTCATATATATTGCTATGAAAGTATATTGTGGAGAAGACATGAAGACTAAGATTGTGTGGCTTTTGGCATGGTCACAGTCTCCTTTCGATATATATAAGTGGGTTGATCTCGTTTTCGCAACTTGGTCTTGTTGTCAGGGCAACTTAGTTGAACGCATCTTGCCCGAAGTCCTCTGCCATAGTAGTTATAATTCCCAGCATCAGACCGTTGACCTAGTACATTCTCAGAGATTTCACCGGCATCCTCAGGGAGTCTTGTCATTCTCCACATCAAGCTAGAAAGTCATAAAAGAGACAATTTAAATCAATCCCTCGACCAACGTTCCTCTTTCTGTCCTGGCCCATCTATCCACACTTTGCCTTCTTATCACACTCCTGCCCTATCACAACTTCTGACTTGTTTACATTCCAATAGTCAAAATCTGTGCCCTTTTTTCGCAAATTGAGTGTGGCCTCATTACACTTGCTATTCACTTTTGCCCCCTCTCTTTTGATCAGCTAATCCGACTCTGATTCGGATCTCCATCATGGTTCCGTAGATCCGTTTTTTATCTTTCTGGTTGGCCGATTTCACTCGATTCCACTCTTAGTGTGCGTTTTACTCCAGGAGCTATTTCTCAGGGCCTTAGGAGCACATACACTGCCGCCTCACCGAACGCGCCTGGAGTAAAACTCACACTGAGACTGGAACCGAGTGAAATCAGTCAACCAGAAAGATGAGAAACGGGTTTATGGGACCATGAGGAAGATCCGGATAGGAGGCCCGAGTCGGATTAGCCGATCGAAAGATAAGAGGCCAAGGTGAATAGCAAGTGTGATGAGGCCACACTAAATTTGCCAAGAAGCGCACATTTTGACGAGTGGAAGTCAGAAGTTGTGATAGCGTGGGAATTGGATAAAAGTGTAATGAGTGGATAGATAGGCCATTAAATAGAAGAGGGACAGTATAAGTGTCTCTGCAAAACGTTGGTTGAGGGATTGACTTAACTTGTCTCTTTGACGAGCTTGTAG